AGGCAAAATTATAATCCGGAAAGGATAATGAATAAAATGTAAAAAAAAAAAAGTCAGAAAACTTAAAAGTCCATTCTATCTACCCTGAAATTCCCATAGTATTAAAATATACTGCATAAATCAATGAGATTTTGCTGCTGTGCATTTATCTCATTTGGAAATTTCCCGGTTTAATGTAACCTACCTATAGTGATGAGTCAAATATAATGATCAAATGAGAAGTGTCTTAATGTGTCCCTGGATCCAGCCTACTTTAGATACAGTATTGGAAGCTCTCCTAAGACTGGGAACCTGCATAAGCTCATATGGTGAATATATTTGAGCTTGTATTGAGATGTCCATGGTGCTTACAAAAGGGGAATTCCATTGAGAGTTCCTGTCTCTTTTGTTTCAGTTCAATAGCACTTACAATCACTGAAGTCCCCCCCCCCACCTTAATCACTGTACCTGCTTTCACTGGAACACACACGCGCACAAAGCAGAGGTGGGGGTGGCTCTTCATTCCTCAGTGAACTCTATTCACTTGTGTATTCCAGAATAATGATATCATAAGTAATATAATGTGTATGTTTTTCTTAGTAGCAGTGCATTTAGGGTGAGTTTTAGATCAAAGATTTGGATGAGTTGAGTCAAAATTACCTATGCCAAGATTCTTAACTTATGCACATGGTCTCAAAAGTGAACTTTTCTTCTAGTCAGGAATAGTTATTAATAATCAAAAATAGATTTTTATTAGTCATTGTATATAAATGTATATCATTAAAAAGAAAGTCAGGAAACCTGTAATTATTTATTTATATGCATCCTGTTATAAGGATAAGATAGTCTCTTAATCATCTGAAGAGTGACTTAGAAAAAGTTCGAAAATCCTTCATGTAAATTAATATCCTGGTCTGGAGAGGTGGCTTAGCCAGTAAAGGACTTGCTGCACAAACATGAGGATCTGAGTTCAAATCCCCAGAACCCATGTAAAAGTCGATCTGGCAGCACACACCTGTAACCCCAGTGCTGAGGAGCAGAGGCTGGCAGATCCCTCTAGCTCACTGGTCAGCCAGTCTCACACTCTTCAAGTTTTAAGTTCAGTGGGAGACCCTATCTCAAATAAATAGATTAGATAAATAAATAAATAAATAAATAAATAAATAAATAAATAAATAAATAGTGGAGCGCAATAGAGGAAGATACCTGACACCTCCAGCTTCCACATATACATGCATATGTGAGCATTCATATACATGCATGTGTGTACACACACACACACACACAAATTAATATCCTTAGTAATGGCCTCTGAAGGAGATTCTTATTTTAAAAGAATATGATTTTACAAGCAAAAGAAGGGGAGTAGGAAAGTAATACTAACTGAACTGTATAAAATACTGAAACAGCCATGTATGGTGGCTCACACCTGTAGTTCCAGCACTTGGGAGACAGAGGCAGGCGAATCTCTGTAAGTTCAAGGCCAGCCTGGTCTACATATTGAGTTCTAGGCCAGCTGGTGCTACAGGAAGACCCTGTTTCAAAAAGACCAAAAAAAAAAAAAATCTGAAACAACTTGGCTATTTCATGAGCTGCTTCAATGCACCAAACTATGAAAGAAAACGGGGTAATATGGGAAACAAGAGCCTTTGTGGATTGTCTTCCCAGAACCCAAAGATACTCCCTAATTGCACCTGTTCACTTTGATCCTAGGTAAGCCATAGTAACCCATGCGAATGCATCTGCTTGCCCCCTTCCTAGCATCAGTTCCCCACCCTATCCTGGGGAAAGCATAACCAAACTGTAAGAAGTAATCTGAGGAAGAGAGACAAAAAGAGAAACTCACTGTTTTCCAACAGGTAAGCTCTAGAATTAGCCATTGGTGGTGGTGTTCTACCCTGCAGACCAAAGGGCCAAGGAGGCTGGTGTGAAGAGAAACAAAACAAACACAGAAGTGCAGAGAGGAAAAATAGCTCAACGCTGAGTACTGATGGCTTCTTAGTACTTTCTTCTAGAGCTTTCCAGAGGCCCTGTGGAATCTCACTGGTGGTTTCATGACAAAACCCCGTGGGATGACAGAGATCACATCGTTCATTTAGCTCTCTCTTGACTGGTTTCTGTCACCAAGGTGTTCTGGTGTGCTAGAGAACAAACTGCAACAGGACTTCAAGGACTGAGTAATGTTCAGTCCTCTGCCTCTGAAATAAGGATAAAATAGTTCTGGTTATCTTTTAAAATATTTTGTTATTTTTATTTTATGTGTATGAGTGTTATACCTGCATGTAAGTAAGTGCACCCGTGTTGTGCAATGCCCATGGAGGACAGACGAGGCTGTCAGATCCCCTGGAACTGGAGTTATGGACGGTTATTAGCTGCCATATGGTTGCTGGGATCCAAACCCAGGTCTTCTGCAAGAACAGTCAGTGTTCTTAACCATTGAGCCATCTCTCCAGCCCCAGTTCTGCTTATTTTTATCAATCCTATAATTGAATATTAATAATCATTGCGGTAAATGTTATTAGGAAGCCTCGAGAATCACATGAAAGTCTTTAGTACAATATCCTGGGGTTACAAGCTCCTTAATGTCACTTACTGCTGCCACATGAAACTGTTTAGAAGCAAGCTGATTGTCCACTCTTAATAAAATGAGGTTGTTTTAATGACTTTTGATGTGTAGCTTAATGGAGTCTGAAGGGTAATAAATCACAAACAATTAAAAGATTTCCTTTGTGAGATGTTAACTGGTTCAACAGATAGAAATCAACTTCAGTATCATCCTTTATGTGGCATCAAACCAGCTAATTTATACATCTCTCTGCTAGAAGCAGTCTTACATAATGTTTTTATTAACATGTTCATTTACTAATTTGTTATCACATAGGCTAATAAAAATACATCATATCTGCACAGGTACTTTGTGGGCACATGGGTCAGCTCACACACAACCCACAGTTCTACCAGTGAGGATTCACCTCTTATCCTTCCTTGTCCAGCTACCTTGGACATAATACTTAATCTCTACTGTGTCTTCATCAATCTATTTCCTCTGAACTATTGGGAAGAAAAAAGAATCACATCATTGTTGACAGAATTAAATAACATGGTCTACAAAAACACTTTGTAAGCAGTAAAGGACTACACAGACATATCAAGGTAGTCTTACAAATTAAACGTTGAAGGAGTCTGTGATCTGAGGAATGGATTGAATCTGAGGCGCTTTCTTCATCCTCTCCCCACAACATTTTAGATGACTGCATGAAGGGAACATGTCCAGCCTCCTTTTGGTAAACTGAAGGCAACTCTTCATTACACAAATGTTTTCAAGGAGAAACAAAGTCTTCCCACCATCCATGTGCAGAACATCTGTGCTAAGACCATTCCACACATAATTCTTTGAAGCACTGGCTGCCTAGAGGAAATACTTTGATTTGGGCTTTATTTAAATGCCTAAATTTCTATTAGAGACACAAAAGATTTTCTAGTAAGAGCCCTCTTGGGAACAACACCAACCTCTACCTAGTTAAATCACTCAGAGGCCAAGTGCCTGGAATTTCTTAGAGCACTGTGCAGTGAAAATCTTCCCAAGAGCTTGCAGCATGCACAGACAGCTGGCTTGGAATGTAACTGACCCGAGGTGAAATCACTGTCATAATTAGATTTAATTTTCCTACTCCAACAGTGCCTGACTCCAACATGTCTATACCCCCTATGTAGAAAACTATTATTCTCCTTCAACAATACTTTGACGTATTTGCAGCTTAGTTCCTTCACGGAAGTCACTTCTTCGCAAGTATAAATATAGCCAGCCATTCAGACAGCTATGTGTACCAAAGAGTTTAAAAAAGAGGTTATCCTACTTCGGTAACTTTCCAGAAACATCTTTAAGCATTAAACAGGTCTTAAATATCATTATGCACCCTCTTCTGCAAGTTTAATGTATCCTTTTATCAGCTCAATTAGAAAGAGAGAGCCGTTAAGACCTTGGTGAGCCTGGAGGGTTTGGGTTTGAACCGTTTCTGCACGCCGAGGGAAGTACAGCTTCGTGGTACAATACCCTGGGGTTACCCGCTCCGAAACAGTTCCGGAGCTCGAGCTCGTGGGGCGACACAAAGCCCTGTCTCCCTAGGAGAGAAGCTAAGACGTGCACGAATCTGTGTGCTTGCTTGTGCTTGTTTATGTTGTAAAGAACGGCCGTCGGTATTATCTCAGGAGACCTGGGTTATTTTATACATGTGCATGTTATGAGTGCCATCTCACCAAACCGGCCAGCCCTTAGCGCCACGCTGTACCGAGTCCGCAGGAATCCTAATTGACTGGTCGATTAGAGGAGAACATCAGACCGTTGCTGATAATTGTACAAGGTGCATTTTGAGAGCACAGAAGAGAGATCAGATAGAACCGCACAAGTTCGCAGTATGTCTTGAGCCGCCCCCCTCCCCCCAAAATATTAAATAAATACGAAGAAAAAGGAAGGGAAAGCCTTGGGCTGCGGGAGTGTTCCAGAGAGCGAATTGCTCAGGACTTCAAACACTGGGAGTCATTCTGTCAAGGGGAGGGGGCGGGCGGGGGCAGGCACTGGGCCTCGGTAACAAAGTCCTCCTCTCTTTGCTCCCTCCCACTTCATTCACTTGCAAATCAGTGTGTGCCCACAAGAGCCAGCTCTCAGGAGCCCTTAACCTTCCCATCCCGGGAGCTGCAGTTTCAGCCGCCGCAGCTTGAACGCCAGAGCCTGGGACCGCGGCGGAGGCGAGCGCAGCCTGGGCGAGTCACAGGGTCTCCCGGGCGCAGGAAGGCGAGCAGAGGTGGGTTCGGTCTCTGTTGGTGATGCGGGAGGGTTGTGCATGCATTTTCCTTTTTTTTTTTTTTTTTTTTTTTTTTAATTCTGTAGCGTTGATAGAAGCCAATCAGAGAAAGCGAGTCCTCTCCGCCCGGTGTCTGCCGCGCGCTGGAGTTGGGAGGGATGCTCAGCTGCGAGCCGGGGTCCTGGCGGGCGCGCGGGTCCCGCTGCGCTGGCGGCGCTGCTGCCCCTACCCAGGACCGGCGCCGCTTCCCAGGGAGCCTGGGCGCCGCTCCTCCGCCTTCTGGTAAGACCGAGCCGCCTCGGGGCTTGCGGGGGTTGCAGGGAACACGGCCCCGGGAGAGGAGCCTGCGGGCGTGCTCTCGGCGGGGCTGGCGGAGGCTGCCAGCCGAGCTCCGGCTTTGCAAAGTTGGCTGGTCAATCACCCAGGGCGCTGGTGCGTGCGAGACGGGTGGAGCCGTTGGGGACTTGATTTATTTCCACCTGCCGGACATTGCAAAGGTCTGTGTGATGATTCCCCCGGCTGAGTTAAGGTTTCTTGGGTTTGAGAGTCACGCAGAAATTCAGATAGTCTGAAAACTCTGGAACGCTCCCAAGAAGGAAAACTTAAAGAGATGGTTTGGCTCAGAGAATGGAGCTAAAGAAAACTGTTAGCTTGCATGTTCTGGGCAATGCCTGCCGGCTTGTGTAGGACAGAAATGCTTAGGTTGCAAGGCAAGTCCAACACTGGACTCCGAAAATGGAGCACACTGTCCAGGGAAAAGTCATGTGGAAGACGCAGCTCGCTTGTACTCTTGCACGGCTGGCCAGACACGAATCGAGATAATGCCTTCCTCGACTGTTTGGAGAACAGATCCGGTGCGCCTTATTTTAGGTGTCAGATGCAAAAAGCGGAGCCCCTAACGCGTTCGTTTTGATTTAATAAAGGAGGCTCTTGTGACGCTGTATACTGCAGCAGTCACGGCTAGGGTTACTTCCTCTGTAGTTAGATATTCTCCTGCCAAGAGTTGCCGTCCATCTCGAGATGGGAGATGCTGGCGAGGTCAATATGGTACTGAGAAACGTCGTCGCAGCTGCAATAAAATCCATATTTTATGGGAAGTTACATGCAGGTCTCTGGTTATTTGAGGGACTGGTCGCCTAAGTTAACTACTACTGAGAACATTCAAGGACCAAGAAGTTTAATCATGTGGAACATCCACACATTTCTCTCTCCTACTCATTTTGCTGTTGCTCTGTGAAGACACCGTAATTATGGTGGTCACTATAGACGCGTATCAGCCCGGGTCTCTGGCCTAGCTTCACTTTCACTTACTGGTCACATAGTGTGGACAAGAAGCGGTTTCTCCTGCAACAGTGTGGTTGGAGGTACTTATGTGTTCCACCCCCACCCCACCCCCTCCGTGGTTAATTATCCAGGGGGTGCGAGTCACTCCCGGTGATGGTAAAGGAACCTGGGCTGTGCCTAGTTAATGCACAACTCCAGAGAATGAGAAGCAAATGCGTTCCTGTGAATGCTGCCCAATCTTTTTCTGTTGACAGTTTTACCTGAAAAAGGAAAAACCCTTAGGAGTCTTTCTGCTCTAGGAATGAGAAAACTCTCTTCCAGATTAGCTTAAGCTTGGTTCTCCTACCTAGCACTTGCATGGCTCTGTGTTTGCCATTTTAGAGAATGGGAAGACCAGTTGTATGCAGAAAGGGGATACAAAGAGATTCATGATGTCACCAAGAGGGCAAAGTGCACAGAATCTCAAAAGAAATCCAGCAGTTGATTCCAAGATACAGTCACAGAGAATGGCAGCTCCCTCCCTTTTTCTCTTTGCTGCATTCTGATGAACAAAATGTTGAGGTGAGTTAAAAGGTAGATCTCTTCTTGTCTAGTTTCATGGTTTGTGCCATACTTTGGAAGCAGGGGAAGTCATCAATCTCTCCAGAAAAATATGAGGCAACAGCACATTTCTGAAGGGAGGAGGCAATGATGTAGTTCCACGGTATTTGTCCACAATTATCTTCTGCTGCCATTAGGAGAAAGTGGCAGGCTGGTATCTCCACAGGGACTTCGAGCCCCTTTGCTAGCTGGCTTTTACACCAATTTATCGCAATTACATTTCTCAATGCTAACTCTGCAAAGATAATATATGGAACAAAAGCATTTTCTAGCAAGTTGTCTACTATCAAAAAAAAAAAAAATGTGTACCTTCCTTCCTCCACCCACCATTCCCATCAGCTTTGCAAGGAAAAATTTGCTGTGAGGCTTTCTTCTAAGAAAAGAATTATCTTGCAAAATGCTACTTGAGATACTTGCAAACAGCTAACATTTCTAGAAAGCACATCCTGGGCATCACATGCCACTTCCTTGCTATAGCAACAAGTTAGAACAGTAAGTTCTGAATATCTAATTAGGGGTCCTTGAGTGACTGCCCCATACAGGGATATTAAACAGAGATAAACTGTGCAAATATCTACCTTCCTTGGGCATATTGTGTGCTCTCCCTTTCTGGCCCTGCTTGCTTCATAGTCGTGAATGCCAGCATTCATAACTACATCTTTTCAGCTACCGAAACTTTCTTTTTTAGTTGGAAAGGACTAGCAGTAGCTCACTCCATGCCTTCCCCCACCGCAGCTGAATTGTAACATGGATTTTTCTAAGCTAATAAGAGCATATTAGCTTTTTCTCCATAGACAGGCCAATATTCTCCAAGCAGAACCCTGACATTCACACCAGAGCAAAATCATCAACTATCATTTTTGTAATTCTCTTGATGTAAGGAACTTATTAGGTGTTTTCATAATTTTCTAAGTACCTAGACCTTGGGTCATTGATCTCTGGTTCCAAATCAAAGCAGTGGCTAATTAATAAAGAATTTAACACTATCAAAATGATGGAAGATTTTCCTATTTATGACCTTGCCAGGATTTTACTTCCTAAATTCCAACTCAGCAACTAATGAGAAGGAGTTTAGAGCTATGACTTCAAAAACTCCCATGTGAGGAACTCCTACTACTAAAGAAATGTTTACAGGGAAAAAAATGATAATTTTTAGGGATCCATAAACATACAGAGGTTGGATTAAAATAGAGGCATCTAACATAAAGAAGATTCTGTTCAAATAAGCGTGGAGAGCTGGTTAAGGTTAAAATGCCCGTGTTACCCTTATTGTGGTTCTCCATGTGTTTTAGTTTTTCGCTGTGATGCATCACAGTGCCTTTTAGATAACCTGGTCCTTTGGAAAAACATACATTTTTATTTAGTGTGTGTGTATATGTGCATATGCCATGGCACAAGTGTGGAGATCAGAGGACAACTTACAGGAGTTGGTTCTCTCCTTCCATCATGTGGGTTCCAGGGATAGAACTCAGGCCATCAGGCTTGGCAGCAAATGCTTTTACGCACTGAGCCATCTTGATGGCCCTAGGTAACCTACTCTTTAAAAGCTCTGCCTAGAACTTGGAGTAAGAGAAGTTCTGTAGGGTGAATCAGCCTCTTCTGCTGACAGTCTGCAGGTTTCAACTTCCAATTTAAAAATCTGTCCTACAGTTTGAAATGTGTTCCAAATGAGATAACATCCTGCAGAAGCCACTTTCCTTATGCATCCTGCTTAGTCACTGCATCCATTCTTTGGGGTCCATCAAAATTAGGGTGTGGTTTATAAGAATAACAAGCAATGAGTCAGTCTGAATTGCCTTTTTAATAGTGTCTTAGCCTAACCATTGTTTACTGAGCCTGCCTCATTTGCTTCACAAAAAAAGGTGAAAATGTAGATAAACTTTCTGTGGCTTAATTTTTTTTCTGAATGATGATTCTTCAACACAAAGAAAGTCACGGTAACAGAAGTGCATACGAAAAGAAAGTTAAGCATCCACACACCCATTCACACACAGCACCCACATGTGAAAATGTTAGAGAAGGAATAGAGAAAGGTGGGCCAGGCTGATTTCATTTTGTTTTCTTTGAGTCTCCATTGAGATTTCTATCTTATTTTGAAGATAATTGAAAGAGTGAGGCACTTTCTTGGATCTACAGTCATATTTTTGTTTGAACTTACGTCTTATAAAAATTAACTTGCCTACAATTAGTTAAAGTTGCTATTCCTAGGAAAGGCTCCCTTTTTCAAAGCAGTCCTATAAGAAACTTCAGGGTATTTTTTCCTAACTATCGAATTAAATGAATATAGTCTTTGTAGCATTATCACCCCAATGCAGGAAGATAAGGAAAAGAGGTGAACATGCAAACAACCTTTCAAAAAGATGGCTCATTTACGACATAAGAGAAATAGGTTGTTCAAGCCAAAGTGGTTGGACCAAGAGAACCAACTTCACCCAGTAGTCTAACTGACGCACTGGACTATCCAGGGAACTTTCAACTCTTCCAGTAAAGACACTTGCTCAGAATGATTATTCTGAGTGCACCTTCATAAACATGAGTAGATAAGCAGGCAGAGGGTCTGTCATCCATTCCCACAGATTACTACAGATCATTCAAACTCATCTCACTATTTAATATCTTGACATGAACACTATTGAGTGCCAATTTCTGTGGCGATCGGATCACCTTACAGAGATTTATAAGAAGAGTTTAATTAAAATCAGAATGTTACTGTTAGAATTTGATTTGCAGTGTGGGTCAAAAACTTCTAGCAGATATGCAATGCAAGGTTCTAGAAGAGAACAATTTATGAAGAGGAAGATCATAATGCTAGCACACCACTCGGTCTGACTTATCTTCACAGTTCATCTTTCAAGAAAGAACTGTGCCTTTTTCTCTATAATTTCCTACATGAGTAGCTCTGACTGAAGATGTTTAAGAAACCTAATAAGTTATAGGAATGAAAAACAGCAAGGAAAGAATTAAACTGAGGACATGTCTGAATAACAGAGAGGTGAGTTTTATGTAAGATGAAACCATAAGAATCAAAATAGAATGAAATTTGCCATTTTTACACGGGATCTATTTCTTCCTCAGTACCATGGGATTTTAGGCACTATTACATCATTATCATGTTT